AATGATTTCTCATAATAATTGTTATTACATCACTTATATGTCATAGTTTCAACCTTTTATTTAAATTTAAAATGTAATAAAAAATGTATTCAAAGTCTTTCGTTATTATTTTACCGTAAAAACTTTTATTGAAATGGTTTACTTAAGTCATATCGTAACTGATACTCAAGAAAAGGATGAACGTAGTGAGCAGGTTTGTAACTTTGATAAAGTAGTTCGTTACTGAAGATAATAAATGCATGTATATTATTTTGTACGGTAACAGAATTTCTCAACTTTGATTTATGGTTCTCGTTGGACTATTGAACCTATTCCAAAGTAAGAACGATTAAATTTGTAATGGGCTTTTTTTAATTATCTTAATAAACTTATGGAATTATTTTTTTAATAGATATTCATTACCTGACAAAGAAATGCCCCCACATGTCGCCTATAAGCTCATTAAAGATGACCTTCAGGTATAATTATATCTTCGCCAATCATTTAGGATAAAATAATATATTTGACTTTTACTTTGTAAAACAAGTTGGATGGTAATCCGGTGTTGAATTTGGCATCTTTCGTTACTACTTACATGGAAGATGAGGCTGAAGAGTTAATGAAAGAAAATCTATCAAAAAATTTTATCGATTTTGAAGAGTATCCTGTGTCTGTTGAATTACAGGTACGAAATTCATTTCGAATTATAATTAATTATACAATGATAATACAAATTTATTTTACAAATTGCTTTAGAATCGATGCGTTAGCATTATTGCTCGCCTCTTTAATGCTCCAGTGGATGAATCAATAGGTGTTTCAACTATAGGCTCTTCAGAAGCCATTATGCTTGCTGTATTGTCAATGAAAAGATTATGGAAAAACAGGAGAATTTCCGAAGGAAAGCCTGTCGATAAGCCGAATTTAGTAATGGCAGCATCGGGTATTTATAACCTAATTTCATTTCGATACAATTCACGTGACAGTGTTTAATAATAAATCTTTTTTTTACCTTTAACGTTAATTGTTTAATAGTTCAAGTTTGCTTGGAGAAAGGTATTTGATTTTTTTTTATATTCTACTACAATTTTCGACTTTCTTAACTTTCTTGTTGACCAACAAAATAATTATAGCAACTAGATATTTTGAAATCGAAGAAAAATTCGTTTATCTAACAGAAGATACATACGTTCTACAACCAGAAAAGGCTGTTGAGCTTGTAGACGAAAACACAATCGGTGTTTGCGTTATATTAGGGTAATATACCATTCTACATGTCTATTAATAACTTTAATTTCAATTTTTGTTACTTCCAAATTAGATCGACATTCACTGGACATTATGAAGATGTGAAATCAGTTAATGATCTTTTACTAGCCAAAAATCAAAAAAATGGTTGGGATGTACCGATTCATGTTGATGCTGCATCTGGTGGATTTGTTGCCCCTTTTGTGAACCCCGATCTTGTTTGGGATTTCAGGTTAACATCTTTCATTAGTTTAGATATTCGCAATGATATAGTGGCAGTCATTTCCCCGACAGCTAAGGTTAGACTAATTTAGAATTAGTGTTGGTAGGCATTAGGTGTTGGGGAAATCATATAAAACATTGCACTACATGAATTAAAATTTCAATTTATAATTTCTTAATGGTAAGTCATTTAACGTATGGGTTGCCGTCGATAGAAAACGAACCGATAGACTTTTTTTTTTAAAAAAAAATTAACAGCTCCTAACTTGATGGATTTTAAAGTACCATTAACTAAAAGAAAACTTGAGATCTAGTTTTATTTTAGATCTTGAATCATTAAAATAGCTTTAAAATCCATCGAGCTATAGGACATTTAGTATTTTCAAAAAGAAAAAACAAAAAAGTCAATCTGCCGGTTTTATTGACGGCAGCCTATATGTACCGCGTTTTCGTGAAATAACGGCATGCACCCTATTAGAACAATGGCCAAAATTCGAAATTACATCCCTGCGCGTTATTTCGCGAAAATACGGGTATATTTTTTCACTTAATTCGTCTAATAGCTAATTATAAAATTTATGTTATGAATTGCATAATTCTGACTTGCACCATGTTATTGACTTCAGTCCCATTTTGAGTGCATTAATTAAGATTATAAATTCAAAATTTTAATTCATGTGCAATATTTCGACTGCCACTGTATTAATGGTAGGTTCATGGTATATTAAATTGCTCGTATAATCATAGACTCGAATTGGTCCGATCTATAAACGTTTCGGGTCATAAATATGGATTATGTTACCCGGGTATTGGATGGGCCATTTGGAAATCACGAAAGTACTTGCCTGAAGAGTTGATTTTTAACGTGAATTATCTTGGATCTGATCAAGTATATACATTTTAATTATTTATAAATTTGTGATTAATTATAAAACATCGAAAATAAGAAGCTCAACAATTGAGGGTATTATTAAATTACCTGTGTTCGAAATTATCGAATTGAGCTTCTGAAAATCGAGACTGTGGACTGTACCCATAACTCTATTATTATAAATCTGACTTTTGTGTGTGCTTTATTTTCTTAGGCTTCTTTCACCTTAAATTTTTCCAAAGGCGCTTCAAACGTGATTGCCCAGTATTATGTGCTAATTCGACTTGGACGTCAAGGATTTACCTCGATTATGAAAAATTTGATGAGCATTGCTGATTATCTGGCTGCCAGGATAGAGGCCACAAATAAATTTACTATTTTGAGTGATAGAAATGGTAACGGATTACCTCTTGTGGCTTTTAAGTTGAAAGCCAAGGATATACATTACGATGAGGTTTGTAGAATTCTTTAATTCAATGCCATAGATATAACTTATGATATCCATAAATTTTCCATAATCTTGCTAGTATGATGTTGCCCAACGTATTCGTGAGCATCAATGGATTGTACCAGCCTATACTATGGCACCGAATATCCAACATGTTAAATTATTACGCGTTGTTGTGCGTGAAGATTTTTCGCGTGAACGATGTGACATTTTTTTTACATTTTAAATTTAAATAAAAGGTTGAAACTATGACATATAAGTGATGTAATAACAATTATTATGAGAAATCATT